GGTTGCTTGAAGTCGGACTGAATCACTTCAGATCAAGAAATATCTGGTGTCTTACTTGAAGTACATGCTGATTTTCTGGTAATAACTTTTTGAAATTTAGTAAAGTTCAGTAAAAAAATTCACGGAATAGTTTTTGTGAAATTACTGTTCGAAAACTTCAGGGACTCTCTGTTCAACCTAATAGCTTTGATTAATGAATATTTTATCCCTTACGTATTTGGTCGATTTGAATTATGCTTCTGAGTTTTGTTATCCTCTCGTTCCTTCTTTTGTGGTCGGCTTGCTCTTTGCAGAACTTGAGTATTAACCTAAAAACACGATTGCTGAACCAATAATGTATCAGATTATCCAACCTTGTCCAGCGCCGTCTGCAACTGTTCCAAAGTGCCCACTTCTCGTTCAAATTGGATTATCGCTTCGAAGATTTGATGCGGGTGATCCGAGACCGAGTTCAAAGCCTAAAAGACATAACTTATCGTCGGCATCAAATGAGAACTTACTCGATAAAACATCTTTCTGGCCGTGGTCAAATCGTTACCAAATTGCCTCTCATCTCGAATCGCCGCCAACCATTTATCAGCAAAACGACCACCCCCAGAAGCGAGAATGTCTTCCCAAAAACGATGGCCCTAAAAAGAGTGTTAAAATTCAGTAAATCACTTATAACAATACCAATTTATAATCCTTCAGTCGAGTGAAAGCAAACCAAGTGTAATTCTTCCTGAAGGTGAACTGAGGATCCCAATTATGGCCCCAAGCTTCTTGCAATACCTAAAAATCAAATCTTTTTAATTAAAATAAAAGTTTATATTACTTTTTGACCCTCGGCATAGATTTCCCCAGCCAGTGAATAGTCTTGATTGCAATCACTCGTCGCCGAAGTAGATAGACATAAGTTGTGTAAAGAGCTCGACCATCATCAGCTTAAAAATAAGTGGATTGTGAGAAAATCCTTTTAAAACTTACGCGAAGATATGCACTCTTTGGCCTTCAACCATAGTCTGCCAATTTCTTCAGTTGCTCCATTTGCGTTCTCAATCGCCAAAAGAGTCTTTTGCCAAAGACCACATGAATAGTAGCAATTACGCACAGCCCTCTCGTAGACACATCGTATATCCTAAAAGCTGATCAAATTTGATCAAGAGCGCCGCACTTACAGCCGCTCTTTTTAGCGTATCCTCGACCCACTGTCCATAATTGTACCAAAGATTTTCGCAATCGGGATGTTTCTCCACGATCCGTTCAAAGAATGACTCTAAACGCAAAAATAAATGTGAACATCATTCGTGGTATTACCTTTCTCAAATTCGAGATACTGCGAAAATACGTCAATGGAAAACTCTGATTCCTCTAGCTTTTTCTCCCAGGTTTTAAATTCTCCCAACTAAATTGAACTGTTTTTTATTAATTAGTCAATGTCAGACTATACCTTTTTAGCCGTTTTGTTGTGCTCTTGCTCAACCTCTTTTTTGATTATTTCATCAACATCGTACTTGTCAGCTAAAGTTAAAAATAAGTAAATTTGTCGTTTAACACAAACCAAATTCAATCCAACGCTCATGCAGCTGACAAACGTTCCAATTTGGCACCGAAAGGGCCCGCTTATACAAAGTGCAGATAAGTTTAAACTCTTTATCCCGATGCTCATCTAAATCAATATTTTGCCTTTTGTTTTTAATTAAACTCAAACCAGAAGCCGCTTCAAAGAGGATAGCCAACAAATCTAAATATGCCTCCCACATAAGTGCACCCTTGTCAAATCGAAGACCAATAGCTTCAACAGCTTGCTCGAATACCTAGAAACCGCAACTTTAAGCATCTTGACAAAAAATATTCCCTACTTTCTTTGCAAAATCAGGCCCATGACCGCACGCCCATTGAACATATTCAAGCCAAACGTCCGCGTATTGGAAATCTTGGAAAGACTTTTCGAAAATCGCTGTCATCGCTTCAAGGGTATCATCAATTGATTGTTGATCCCTAAATAGGGAAATAAAATAAGTTCCAAATCATTTATGTTACTTAATCCATCGAATCCACTCAGCTGCTGGCAATGGAGAGACATCACCTATGGCGTGCGCCGACATGCGCCGGATAACCTATGGCATATGTCATTTGGCCACCACACCCGGCTGACATTCTCTTGTAAGTAAATTTAGCACACTGGTGTAAACGATTACAGAGTCGTGGGTTTACTGCTACCCTCCAGCTGAAGTTTCCAATACAAATATTTATACATTTGGCGATAACATCAAAACGGAGATCATAAGACCCAAAGCTTCCTTAAACAAAAAAAATAAACGTGAGTTTCAAAGAACAACCGATCAAATGATTCGCAAATACCAGAAAATACTTCTAAAGTACATTAAATATATTGAGTACGATCATAAAGTTCATTCATATTTGTAGCATCGATGATCATTTGCAATGGATGAAGATGCAAGCAGTAAAGGACGAAAAGAAGCAGCATCACAATGACCAGGATTTGAATTGCAATTCGACCTCTAAAAAGGTTGATTTAATTTTTAGAGTGCTAAACTGACATTAAAAACTATCAGAGTATAAAACAACACAGGTACTTCGAGCGATGATTGAATGTTGCCCGACTTAGCGGATGAGATTCAGGCGGCAAAACAGAAAGCACTGACACATCTGGGCCCTCGGCATCTTCAAGCTCTGCCTAAAACCATAAAGTCATAAATTTATCCCAAACACCCACCGAAAGTGATATTTGTTGCACATGTTCATCGAGTTCGAGTGCTCCCATGCCAGTGGGTAATGTTGGTGAAGTTTGTACCGGAGAGCGCGTCGGCGATGCATGAATACTGCCACTAAGAGACATCTAAAAATTTTGTGTTGAGATTATAAAAACCAAAGTTACTTCACTGTATAACGACTCCGGATAAACTGTCTGCGATCGAGTTTCTAGTTCTTCCTTTTCTTGCTCCAAATCCTCAAAAAAATAAAGCCAAACGAAATCAGTTAGAAACTTACTTTAATCTTCTTCCTTGATTCATTGAAGAGCACCGATGTGTTTTCAAATTGCACTTTATATTCTTCGGCTTCCGTTCGGTATCTAGTGAGTTGCTCGTCTACGCTATCAAGTTGTTCCTCCAGTTCTTCTACTCGTAGACAACAACCCTAAAATGAAAGTAAGGTGCTGAACTGAAAGTTATTTACTGACTTCATGTCCTCTTATAGATCCGAACTCTGCAGGCGAACTGGCTGTCTCCATTTCACGCATTTCATGGGTCTAAAATTTAGAAATTTGTTAAAAGCATTAATTCTAGAAACTCACCCGGTTTTTCTTTTTGAGTTCGTCGTTCGAGTGTTGTAGCTTTTGCAAGTTCTCGGAGAGACGCTGAATTTCTTCTTCTTTTTTGCGATTCTAAATTAGGTTAATCGAAAAGAAATGAATTGCCAAGTTACATCAAGTCGGAGGCGGTCGCTCTCCCTCAGCCGTTCGTATTCGGCTTCGAAAGCCTTCGTGGCCTTGTCCAACTTGTTCTCGCTTTCTTCTAGACATTCGCTCAAATGCTTGTTTCGCTCTTTAAGAGCTTTGTTTTCCTAAACAACATGATTTCTTCTCAAGATACGGAGAAATGACACTTAATTTGGCTATTCTAAAACGTTACAAGTCCTCGATGTCTCCGCAGAATTTCAATTTTAAAACGTTTAAATTTAAAAAACTCTCACATGTTTAAGTTGATTCCGGTCTTCCTCTAATCGAGTGATCGTTTCTAGGGTGTTTGTCGTGTCCCCAAGATCCTCGATACCCACTTCCAATATTGATTCGTCGGCCATAGATTGCTAAATATAAATAAATTATACTTTACAAAAAAGCTTAATTCAATTGCAGAAACAAAATATCGAGAAGAGCAGGTGAAGAGAGATAAAATAGCATTGCTAATTGTTCGAAGAACGGGAAAATCAGTAATTGTCTTGCCTACAGGGATTTAACGTACAACTAGGAAACCAGTAAATTCGAGCTCGCGAGCTGGTGTTCAGCAAAGAGATAACACGGAACTTTAATTTTAAAAAACTACTAAGCACATCATGCGCGCACAAAAGCGAGAAAGCAACGATGAATTTTTGCGGTTTTTTTCTTTAAATATGGCTATAAACGGATATTCAATTAATCATTTCCACTTTGACAAAATTTCAAAGCGCGCACTTTAGAAAACACTGACTTGCGTTATTTTCTCTCAACCGTTTATATTTTTTTACCTTCCTCAAATCTACCAAAGCTTGTAAGTGCCCGTATAATAGATAGCTGTAGGCATCTCCCTGTATATTTATACGCTATCTTAGAACTACTGCAGCTATTGTGGGTGCTCAAGATTAGAGTGTGCTCCTCTCAAATCAAATCGTGATTCAAATAAAATCGTTCAAATCATGTTTTCTAAAAAGCGCCCTTTTCTAAACGAGACCTTTTACCCTTTTTGTTTTCATTAAAATCTATTCAGCTGATTGACTGGAATGACTGAATAACTTCACAATTTTTCTATATAAAGTCGAGCTCAAATCATTTTTTTGGCATTTTTCTTGAGGAAAATTATGTAAGAACTACGTAATTCAAGAAGATATGTTACAGAAGTCTGTTTGAAGACTTTGAAGATAGAAGTCTGTTTGAAGAGCCTTACTTTATCGAGTGTTGATGGGTGGAATCCCTGTATACTGTGTTCTGCATTTACAGTTAAACATTCAAATTGTTGAATCATTTATTCAAATGTATAAATAAAGTCGAAAAACAGAGCGAATTCCTGGTTTAATACCACCGTTTGTCTCCACGGATGTAAAGGACATTATTGTAGAGATGGTGGCGAACGGTTCGTGGATCAACACCCTCTGGCAGACGGTAGCATCTGAAATTGGAGATATTAGATAGTTCTTATGAGGTAGAAAGTAGTAAGTTTTGTATCAATAAAGCCACAGAAGCATTTGTATCTTGAGTAACTGTAGCCGTATTCAGAGAGACTACGGTAGTCAAGTCAAAGAATACAGTTGAAGCTTATGATAGCTGATTGTTTACCTTTTGGATCTGGAACTAGTTACAGGTCCAAGATCTGTAAAGCTGATCCTAGCTCTAAGTTTTTAAGTTCAGTTTACCTGTTGATAGTTCTCTTAACGACTCCAGCGGTTAGTCCTCTGCTCATGCTCAAGCATGATCTCCATCTGATTGTCGATCACTTTCACCTGAAAATCCATTCTTATAAATTCCCGTGTATTACAGTACAATGATATCTTGTTAAAACTATTAACTTACAGTGATATCCTCATCCTTGAAGTAGGTGGCATCAAGTCCGACCTCGAAATGTCTTCTATCCTCAATAACCTGGAATTGTTTCCATGTTTGAATTTCAATCCATTTCGCCCACCTTGACAGCTCCTCTTTTCCTTGAAGGGCCATTGCCAGACGTTAGCTGCTTGAGTCATTTTGAAGCTAATAATAATAATAATACTTTATTCAAACGATAAAGTGAAAGAAATGATAGAGAAATGCACAAAGTGATACTTAATCATACAATACATACTGGAAATCAATAAGCCAATTACTTACGGGCAAAGAGCCACTAGATCTAAAGTATCGATACGTTTCTTGAATATGAAAAGCGACTGAATTTCTTCGTAGTGTCGTTTGGGGAGCAAGTTCCATAATCTAGCGGCTCTAACGGGAAATGAATTTGGATAAAGAGGCATTGGAAGCAAAGGGAATTTGCAAAAGGAATGTGAGCCACTTCTGGGCCCTGACCGCAGGTTTAAATTTTGAAAAGTCTATAAACAAAGGGCTAATCTGTTTACAACGGAGGATTTTGAAAGTTTCCGGACTAAATCAATGACAAAGCGACGATGCTGTAAAGTTTTTTAGTTCAAAAAAGCAAGTCTCCCTTCATAAGTAAAGCTAGGAATATTTAGAATAGTCAATTTCTCCATAAAGCGACTTTTGTGAACCTCCTCTGAATTTTCTCCAAGCGACCAATAAAGACTTGTGCGCGGGGAGACCAAACAATAGAACCATATTCCAAGATGGGCCGGATATAAGTCGTCAAGCATCGGTGGTAAGAGTTTAGGGTTAGGATGAACAATTGATTTGAGAATACGGCTAGAAACAAAAGAAGCTTTTCGACAAATGATTTCAACATGTTTTAGTGAAATTAAACGCGGGGAGAGATAAGGACACCTAAATCTCTAACAGAATCTAACTTACTAATGTAATTGATAGGAATATTGAAATAATTACCAAAGAGAAACCAAATTTACCAGTGGGAAAAAATGTTGAGATTTTTGAAGGGGATAGGGGAAAGCTCCAAGGGTCGTTTTGGGCCCACAAATTAATAAGTTCTAAGTCATGGTTTGCATTCTTTACAGCCGATGCTTAAGCTACTTGAGTCTCCGATGGGGAATTTTTGAACGTCAGCTTAACATCATCAGCATAGAGCCAGATGGAGGAATTTTTTGATTTGAAAGGACAGTTAGGCAGGTCATTAGCACATAGATATAAACAAAAGAGGACCAAGAATACTACCCTGAAGGAACCCCGCCAGGACAATCAAAAGAGGGAGAAAGAACATTATTTAGAATTACTTTGAAAAGTCCGCTGAGAAAGAAAAATTTTGACGACCGAAATTACAAGTGGGCTGGAGTCGGTAAGCATGCAGTTTGTGAATTAGAAGATCAATCAGAACAGAATCATAAAGTTTTCTTTGCAATATCTAAGAAGACGGGTTCTAGTTGGGAAATAGATTTTTCTTTGGATCTAAAGCTTTGAAAAAGGACCTTATAGGCTAAAATAAGTTGGGAGAAGTTGTGGATTTATTTTTATGGAAGCCAAACAGCTCGGTCAGAAAAAGATTGTACTTATCAAAATGTTGAAAAATTTTATCTTTTATGTGATAACTTCCAAAAAGTTTTGACACAAGAGAAGTTAAAGAAATGGGACGATAATTAACGAATATATTTTTGGGCGATTTTTTGAGAAGAGGCGACACAAGAGATTGTTTCCAGTAAGTTGGGATCCCAGAGACAAAGGCAAAATTTTATTGAAGAATTTGGCAAGAGGAATGACTAGCACTTTAAGGTAGTTTCTTTAGAACAAAAGCAGTAATTTTGTCTGGACTAGGCGATTTTTGGGTCTCAACTTTTTGAAAGCAGCTTCGATGTCACTAGCTGTAAGGAGGAAACTGGCTTGTGGTGGAAATGGCTTTAGGTGGAAAAGCCGGGAATGGTTCATCAGGTATCTGGTTATTGTAAACACTGTGAAAAAATTACCGAACTCAAGCACAATTTTTCCTGGGGATCTAAAAGTGTTTCACTAGGATTGGATGGATCAAGAAAGGAATTTGGAATTTGGTTAGGGTCCTTAGATTTTAGAGTTTATATATACGTAAAAAGAATTCCCTTTTTTGGATTTCTAATATGCTTTTCTTTTCGATATTTTCCTCAAATTTCCGACAATATTTGGAAAGCTTATTTAGTTCCTTATTAACTAAAGGATCATCTGATGGTTGATAGCAGGGGGAGTGACAGTAAAAACAGGCTAAAACGATCTTTAGGCTCTTAAAATGTGCGGCGGGTTCTTTGAAGAAGAGGTCGAGCATACGCCAATTCCACTGAGTTTAGGAGAGACTTTTTTCTAAAGTTACAGCAATCTTGACCAATAGAATTTGAGGAAGCACAAAAATCCGATTGATTTAGAGAATTTAGTAAACACACCGCTGTTTTGAAATGATCTAAAATCAAAATGCAAACAGACTTAATCCCTTTTCTTTGGAGTAAATATTGAAAATATTAAAATAACTGAATACTTTGCTTTCTAACAATACTTCTAATAGTAAGCAATTGAATACTTTT